CCAGAAAGTGAAACCGCTCCACTGCCTCTGTAACGCGATTATTTTTAAAAGTTCACCCAATAATGTATCATAAGTAACAAAATTTGGAGTCGCTTCATGGACTTTCATCTCTGCGAAAAGTGTCCGCGCGTCCTCAACTTTACCTACTTGAAATAGGCCAGCCAACAGAACAGTGAATGTAATTACATTCAGCTTGCATTCTTTGCTTACCATTTCTTTGAAAAGCCTCATGGCCTCTTCCACTTTCTGACAGTTGCAATACCCATTAATTAACATGGTGTAGCTTCCAACATTTGACTTATGGCCTTTAGCCTCCATCAAATCAAATAACTCCCATGCCTATTCAATCCTACTATCTAAGAAGAGCCCAAACATCAATGCACTAAAGGTAATATAATTGGGCTCTTCACCCATTTGAATCATCAAGTTCAGCAACCCAAACGCTTCATCAATCTTCCCCTCATTACAAAGTGCGTGTATCAAGATAGTAAACAATGTTACATTAGGACGAATGCCATGATCCACCATTTCAATGAGGAATCGCTTTACCCCCTCCCAATCACCGCCGTCACACAAACCATGAATTAAACCAATATATGTAACCATGTTCAGGGTAATTGTCCTACCCTTCATCTCCAAAAATAGTTGTTTACCCTTGTCCAACAACCCCTCTTTACAAAGACCATGAATAAGTGTGGAATAAAAAATTAAGTCGGGCTTAAATCTCAAATCAGACCTCCCCTTACTGTTCCCCACATCTCTATAAAACCGAAGATCAACCTCAGCATTTCCGCTCCTACATAACCCATTTATTAATGTATTCCATCAATCTTCTCTTCCAAACGGAACCCTCTAATCAATGAAGTAAAAGTAACAATATCAGGACTATACTCCCTCTTGAAAATCAAACACACAACAGCAGAACCAAGAAAAAACCCTTTTCAAGCTACCATCACAGTTGAGCAAAATATTTAGTGTTATGGAATCCGGAAATATATCAGCTTCAACCATCCTACGATACATAAAAACCACATCTTGATAATTCTTGGTTTTGGCAACATCACCCATCAATTTGTTAAATGACGAGCTGTGTGGCGATTGGTGAGGGTTTCATTTTGAGCATATTATGAAAGGAGGTTAATACATCACTGGTGTTGATTTTTGAGCATGATTTACAGTCTTTGTTTTAAATTTCCATGTGGGGTTGGGTTTGAAGTTGAGTTGGGCATCTGAATATTTTTGATGGGTGTGTGAATATTGATGAAAGTTTACCTCTTTGGGCAGTTCTAGAAGCCATTTCTGATGTGCCTTTACGACAATGGATCGCTGAATTAGGAAAATTATAATCCACTGGTACTACATATCTCTTCACGTCACACAACATTTTCTTGCTCACTTGCGGATTGTCTCCAAGTTTTCTACCCTTACGCAGTTTTCAAGATTTTTTTCACAGTAGTCCCCAACTTTTTTACATTTTGCACGTTCATTTTCATTCTTTGGGTTGCCCCTTTAATTAATTATTTTTAAAAACATAATAATTTAAAATTAGATACATTTATATATATTTTTTATTTTAAAATGGTTCCATCTTGATCATTTATTAAAACTCCGTTTTTAAAAGTAAACAAAAGATTTTAAAATGTGAAGTACTCATTGAAAATATATTCATTTCGAATTTAGCCCCTGATAACTATTATTTAAAAATTCTTTCATACATACATACATACATACATACATACATACATACATATATATATATATATATATATATTAAATCTAAAAAAATTCTCTACTTTTTAACCATACATTCTCCTACAAATCACTATTTAAAACATTATTTTTTTCTAAATAATTACCATCAAACAGGGGTTTAATCTAGCGATCGAATTGATTTTTCTCAACTTAAGTAAATATAGAAAAAATAAAATATTATTAATAAATTAAAGTAATTTCAATTATCTTTTATATTTTAACTCATTGTTCAGTTATTGTAGATGTGCGGATAGTTTAAGCCCCCGTTTGGTGTACATTTTTGGAAAAAGAATGCATTTTTATTGTTGATATGATGGGAAATATGTGGTTGAAAAAGAAGAAAAAATTATTGATGTGATAAAAAATATTATTTTATTAAAGAATATGTGGTTAAAAATGAGTAGAAGAATGAGAATGAACAAAATAATGTGGTTCAACCAGACTTCCCCTTGCCTTGAAAGAATTCGCATGCTGGTGCTAGTTCTTAGAACTAGATTTAGTCCATGTTTGACCCTTATTTCTAAAATTTTTTATTCTTTAAATTATTTTTAAGCACATATTTAATGTGATTCACAATTTTTATCAACTTTTCAAACACATATTTTATGAACTTTTATCCAAATCTAAATATCTTATTTTTAGCTAAACCAAACAAGGGTTCAATATCCTCATCCTCAACAAAAAGATACTCTTTACCTACACAAACTGAATATGCTCATGTAGCACTTCTCATGTCTATGTAATAGTGTCCATGACGAAATGATTGTGTTCCTATATATGCATGACTCATTCGTTTATTCATATCCTACTTAAATAAGTTGAATAAATAAATAAATAAAGATTTTAAGCATAGCGTAGAACACATGGGCACTTGGTCAAGTGTGACCCTATGAGAGGACACGCGTATAATAATCATGCTATGTAGTGCTATAACACCCGTCTAAGGAATTGCAATTGATTAGAGTTTTTAAATATGGCTTCTATCAATCAACGAGACTTGTATTTGTCAAGGATATTGAATAAGATTACAGAAATCGTCAAAGATTGCTATTATAATATTTACTTTCCTTAGTGTATGATTACTTTCCTTAGTAGTAGATTGCGTAATCTTTCCTTTTATGATTCTTTCCTTTTACAGTTATTTGTAACCCTATAAATAGGGTCTTCTACTTTGTAATAGAAACAAGTTTATTATATACAATTTATAATATTCTTCACATCGTATCAGAGCCGTTACGATCCTAAACAAATTAA